TAAAGTCTCATTTATCCAACCCCCTGTTTTTTTCTGTCCAGACACTAAGATATAGAAAAACAACAAACAGGGAAAATAAAAATTTAAACTTTTGCATCATATCACTGCTATACCCATGCTGAATTCTCTTGTACAGTTAGGCATGTTTAGGAAGACTAAATAGCATGCTCAGAATTGCACATTTTGAATCCCTAGCATTATTGCATGTAATTTTGGAGAAGGGCTCATCAGGATTTATTTTCTATAATTTTACTGTATAGGGAGCAAATCTATTCTTTTATATCTTTGCTCAAATGATTAAAACAGGTGACCCAGATCCTGTCAGATTGATACTGAATTCTATACAAGCAATTCCAGTTTAATGATACATATTTAAATTTGTGGGAATATAACATACTGACATGTTATTATGATCTGCTAATAGTTTTAGTTGAGATGTGTATATGAAATTAGCACTGCATACAGTTAATTGACTAAATGTGTTATTGATATTGTGGCATTAAGGAGAGAATATATGAAACTAAAAAAATAAAAGTGGAGAAAAAAAGTGCAGTGAAATGATCAGTTGAAAGAATGAATGAGTTACAAGAACAATTGGAAAAGGTAAATGGATAAAAATAATAAAGAGGAAAAAATTATTACTAATACAAAGATGAGTAAAGGAACTAAAGAACCATGTCTTTCCTTTGTTTTAAAAGAGGAAATCAGAAGATATTGGAGGGAGTAGGAGTCTTAGACCAAAAATGAAAGGCCTTTAGGAAAATATATTTTGCTAGACATAGTGTCTCTTAAGGGACATCAAGAAGGTTCACAAAAAGTCAATCAAGGAAATGGGAGGTTATGGAACTAAGGTGATATTTGAGTTTGGTCTAGTTATCTATCTTTTAAAATAAAATTTCATAGAAGAGGGAGAATCTCTGATCAGCATGTAATTCTGCCTAGTCATTATGCTAGCCCACAGTTATAATGTTAAAGACTAAACACAGTTAGTTTCCTAAAAAGTACAAAACCATTGTTTAATTAAGACATTTATGAATAAGAGTTTTGTTGCTAGTTTTATTGTGGAGAGTAAATACTAGGTAAAGTATCTTTGTTTTGGTTAATAATAGTAGTGCATGAAAAAATGACCAATTCTACTTAGTTGCTGAAAAATTAGAATTTGTAGATTTAGTATAGGCCTGTTATAGACAGAACCACTGCTCTAATTAATTTACATCATGCTTATCTAGTCTGAAGGCAACTAATTGATCATGAAGATCAAATATCAAGAACATTAAAAAATTTTTTTATTGTTTTAAGAAGGAACTCATTCAGTAAATGCAAAATGTAACTAGAAATTTGAAAAATGGCAGAAAGAACATTTTTAGTATTCATGTTTTCATTTTAAGTGTTTGTTCAACTATCAAACTCTAAATGGTATAAATTACACTTTTTCTATGTGTGGTTACATTTCCCCTTCTACTGAGAACAGCTTTTACAACCATCAGGCAGATCCCTGTTTAAGAGATCTGTATTTCCTACCTTTTGCAAGTGTTTGGTGATTCTCTTGCTTCTGATTGTATGGCGTTTGATTCTTAATCTCTTCCTAAAATTTCCCAGTGATATATAACTTAAGACTTAAAGGGACTTTGTGAAATTTTTGACAAATGTTTAAAATCCTGTGCGTTACTTGTAGTCTTCCCAGTATATTACTAAACTGCATTTGAAAGAATACATCACTTACATTATTAATTTAAAAACTAAATTTATGTAAGAATAAAAAAGATTTAAATGTCATTTTTATGGTTATTAAAAATTCATAAAAAAATTTAGTGTTTGTGGTGAAGTTTTATTTAGCCTGGTCAAGATTATTGAGAGGTTTACTTGTAGGTTCTCTATTGTTTTATTTTAGTTTCTTTTAAAGTGGTTTTTTATTTTATTTTATTATTTATTTATTGTTGACAGTATTACAGATGTCCCTCCTCCCCCATTTGCTCCCTTTACCTAGGTGCTTAATTTTAATAAAATCCAGAGTTTGATTAATTTTTTTAACACTTTATCTTTTCCTCTCAAGAAGGAGCTCATCTTGCACTCAAATGTCTGAGATAGAGGTATACAAATCTTCATTACATACTTAGAAATTAGCCTGAACCTTTAGGGCAAGGAAAAAATGACCTTTTATACTTCCCCCCAAATATTTTTATTTTCTAGCACAGACTCCTCATTGCCTCTTCATTTAAACCAATATTTTTATTTCATTCAGCCCAGCATGTTTCTGCTGGAATATTCTTTAAAAACAAGGTCCAGGGCAAAATAACTAATGAAAGGGTTAGCTGGGTCAATCAGGAAAGCTTATCTTAAAAGTATAGCTTATTCACTGTATTGGATTAAGTATAAGTTTAAAAAAGGAGGCTTCCCTTCCACCATATCTTTGGCAAAATCTTAGATAACTTATCAATAAGGAAAAAATCTTTTTCCACTGAGGCTTAGAAAGATGTGATGTTTGAGGTGTAAAAAGTCATTATGACAGCTCTTTGGATGTTGTTGCATGCACCTTACATTCCACTACTATCGAGCCTGCAAAATTGTACTGGAATTTCATTAAAGTCATATTAGTAAAAGTGTTCCTTCCAGTGCTTCCAGAGAAGTACCTGAAATATCTGATAGACCCAGGCAGGGAACATGTCTGACCTTTCCCTGTGAATGTGTGTGTATACATATGTACACACATATACTCACAGTAACTTCAGCCTACATTTTTTTTAACAGTATTGTCTAGGGCCTGGGGAGTAACAGATCTCTAAGCTTCCTTTCCTATCCAAAAGAAACCAATAAACCCAAAGAACCGGAGTATAACCCTATGAAATAGCAATGCAAGTTCCTTCCTATTCATTCTTTTTAAAAAACAAATGTTCTTTGAGGATGCGTTTTTCCCCCCCAAACGTATTTCTCACTTCACATCCTTCATTGAGTTACTCATAGTATTAGCTGAGCTTCTGCACTTCAAATGCCCATCTTACTTAATGAGTAATCCAGGTACCGCATTCTCCAAATCCTAAGAAAATCGAATTTGGGAGGATAGGTTGAATAGGACAAGAAATCAAGCACATGACTTCCTTATTTGTGATGCTTTTCTGTTATGTAGACCTTTCTGAGAGATGATGAAAACAAGTTCTTTGTAAAGAAGTAACACCGAATTTCTTATTTCATTGATTTTTTTCATTGATTTTTTTCAGAGAAAAAAAGTCAATGAAACAGTTTTACCACAGGTGAGACTTGGAAATATTTCTATTATAGTAAAAATTTTAATATAATGAGATGCACTATGATAAAATCTTGGAAAAGAAATATTTAACCATTTTGACTACCTACTTTAAGGACTGTAAACTATTAGTATAGTAAAACAAAAAGTTAATTTTGTGTAGATTATGCGTTTGTTTTTAAAAGTAATATATATGTGTGTGTATATGTGTATATATATATATATATATATATATATATATATATATATAAAATGCTCACCTCTTATAGTTATGGCTTGTTTTTTATATAATTTGTGCTTTAAACACACTTTTGGGAACACAATTTAAATAATTGGGGAAATACTGTACTTATCATAATTATTATTAAAAGAAAAAAGCTTATTTAGTTTATAAAAAATTTCCATGTACAGTTACACCATGTATATATTTAAAGAATAAAAAATGTCATAAGGGATTGAAGAAGCAACCCAAATGTGTACTCTTCTTGGAAGACTATTTGAGATTTTTCAGGTTTCTTTTTTTTAAATCAATAGGATGAGTTTTGGATACTATAAATGAAACTTTGAGCAGTAAAGTTTGGGCCTCTTCTGTGGTACGAAACAGTGAAGACTATCTTCAAAGCTAGTTTTCATTACCACAAAGATACCATACTTTGTTCCTATATGCAGTTCATAATATTAGCCTGAAAAACCTCTTATGTGAAAATTTGCTCTTCATTTATTACTAATTCTAATTTTCCCATCTAAATTAAATAAGGCATTGTGCATATTATTGCACCTTGCCTATAAAGTAAAGTACTCTTACCATCTGGGTGAATTTAGTTCCTGTGGATGATTAAAAACAAATAACTTTTACTTGTAATCATAAAATATGTGATTCTATTATAAATTAGAAACGTTTCAAGAAAATATAATCAGCTCCTAGTTATCNTTTAGTTCCTGTGGATGATTAAAAACAAATAACTTTTACTTGTAATCATAAAATATGTGATTTGCTATTTGGTCTTAGTGTTTGGCCTCCTAAAATAATGGAAAATTTGTTTTTCCTGCCATGCTCGTGGCTTCTATTCTCCCCATGTTTTGTCATGTTTGTAATTGCATGTTGCTGGATTTCAGTGATGCTGTTTCTCTAAGGTTTTATCTACCATCGCTGTGCAGGATCAGGACCATCCATCCATATGGCAGAGGCGATGGTTAAGGAGGAGAGGGGAGTGAGGATTAGAAGGGGAAGGCACAGCAACCAGGCAGCCTCAAACGAAGCCTTAGGGAGTGCTCCTGGAACATGTCACATGGACTGCCCACAGCCTGTGTAATCGAGAGTTAATTCCATACAAAGAAATAACTTTTAATTTAAATAAAAATGAAGTTTTGTGATAAATTTCTCCAATAATACCCCCCCCCTTTTTTTGTAATTCTCTGGTTGATAAATTTTAAATAAATGGATCTGTTTTATGATACATTAAGGACTATAAATATTAACTCTAAATGCTGATATTGTGTGTACCTATGTATGATAGATAGAAAAAAAAAAGTACTTAAAATATTGAAGGCTTTGCATTTGTGCTAAACTTCAACAGCAGTATTCCACGAGATATTTCTTTAAAAATTATGAAAATTTCAGATTCATCATATAACTTTTCATTGGTCAATTAAAGGGAAGAACATGTGTAAGAAGTATTTGTAATTGCTTTGAATTTTACTAGGAAAAAAATTGCTATTTTTTTCTAATTTAGTTTCCCCCCCTCAATTTTTTCTCAAGTACTGTGATACGACGATCCCCATAAGTGAGAAGCCCCTGACAGAACAGGACTGGTACCATGGTGCAATTCCCAGGATAGAAGCGCAAGATCTGTTAAAACAACAAGGAGACTTCTTGGTGCGAGAGAGCCATGGGAAACCTGGTGAATATGTCCTTTCTGTATTTTCTGATGGACAAAGGAGACACTTTATCATACAAAATGTTGATGTACGTTTCTAATTTAGTTTATATGTATATTCTGATGTAGTTCATTGTGGTATAATGGTAATAAAATGATTAATAGTTTTTTATAAATGCCTGTAACACTTAGAGTTTAGCACTTAATTTGTTTTTGTTGAATTCCTTAAAAATAATGCTCCAAAACTCACTAAAATGTTAATCTTATTAAGGAAATATGCACTTTAAAATATTGTAAGTTAAAAATAGTTGTTACAAATTGAAATCAAATTTAAATGCATAAATATTTAAAATATTTGAGTTAAATTTGAAAATTAAAGATATTTTAAAATAGAAATAATGTGATTATTATCATTTTTTCTGGAGATTTATAATTATGAATTTTATGCTCTTGAAACAAGCCCTTGAAATTGTATTTAAAAGTGGTATCCTGAGAGATTTTTAAAGAAATACTTTATTAAATAGTGATAATAAAATTCCTTAATGAGTGGGATAATGATAGTTGAGCTGATTTTATGATTCACTTAGGATTAAGGTTTTTTCCCCCCTTTTATGTATAATCTATTGCTTGTCGGCATTAATAAACCATAAATAAAAATTGATGAAAATTTTAAACATGATCTATTAACATTACTTGTTCTAATACTAATACATTTATTAAAATTTATTTAAGCATTGCTAGACTACGTTTTATGTGTTACAGTCTTTATTAAGCCTTAAGTAGATGAAAAGTAGTCTCAAATATATATATGCAGCTACAATATATCTCAATGTATCTAATCTATCTATATATCTGAGATGAAATTCACATACCATAAAAGTAAGCATTTAAAAGTATACAGTGGTATTTAGTATAGTCATATCTAGTAACTATATTTAAATGGCAGTAGATGCCATTCAGATGGATTAAAAGAAATAAGGCCATTAAAAGTATATATTATAATTTTCACCTTATTTGTTAATTTTGCATAGTATTCGCACTTCAACTTGATAATCATATTTGCTTACTCTCATACTCCTGACTTACTATTTCTAGTAGTATATCATTCCTTATTTCCTTGTCAAATTCATAAAATTTGTGGGGACCTTTCTAATGGATGTAGATAAGCTTTCCTATTACAACCTGTGATCATGCAGGCAATATTTATAAAATGATGTGAGACTTGTAGAGGAAAAATCATAGGTAAAGTATAAACTAACTATAATTTATATAAATATTTCCTTCTATATTCTAAGCTCTAAAACTTACTATTTTTATAGGTTATACGTTAAATAAGACTGAAATATTTTTCTTAATACCACTTCTAGCTTGTCCTATGTAACTATAGGACTTTAAATTAGTATTCTTAGAAACAAAAAAGAAATGGTCTATTTGAAAATTATAACTTGTCTTTAATATTGCCATTTTGTTTTAAGTGACTAAACTGAATAGCATAATACATTCTAAAAATAAGACATTGTTACAAGTTCACATCTGAAGATTTTATTTGGCTTTCTTCTGTCATTTCAAAGATCTCTATTAAAGATGAGAGTGCTTGTATTTCTGTTAATGTCCCAGGTTTCCCACTGCTTAATTTTACTTAGTTTGCACTCACTAACTAACATTGACCTCTTAAATCAGTTGAAAATAGGAGTTTGACGGTAGTGTAGACTGGGGAGTTTTAAATTCTTTTTCATATGCATAGATGAATCTTCCTTGAGCTAAAACGATTCCATTTCCTTCCTCATATACCTCTTGCCTAGAAGGGGGTCAACAAATGGGGGAATATAACCATATATTTAATGATTGTCCATCATATTCTAATCAAGGAGTTTATAATCTAGTAATAGATTATAAAAGCTGTACATAAATGAGGGGATAGGTGTCCTAAGAAAGGAAGACATAAAAAATATGGGATTTTAGAGAATGTAAAAATATAAATAGTGGGCCAATGAAAAAAAGCACTGGGCTTAGAAGACTTGGGTTCCAGTTCCAGGTCTTCACTTTACAGGCTCTATGCTTTGGGAAATAATGGGGTTAATAGCTTATACAGTGATTGTGAGACTTAAATTAGTGAATATATACTTTGTAAGGTATGGAGTGCTATGCAAATATTTGGTAATTTTACCATTGTTTGATGACTCTACTTGAGAAAAAATACAAATATTACTTTGTAAGAAATATTAATGTAATTGGAAAAGTTAATTAAGTTTTTTTGTTTCTATGAGATTTATTTGTGAAATTTAAATAGTAATGAAGGTGTTTTAGAGTTTTTATCACTTTATCTTGGCGATTTGGAACCAGACCTGCAGTGTCTCTGAGGCATGCCTGTATTTAGGTTTGGGGTATTCACTGATCACAACTAATGTTATTTCTAGCAATATTGCCTCTGTCAACCAAAGTCTAGGCTGGCAATAAGTTTGAAGCTTTATTTTCTTATGTGTGTCACAGTTACTTTTTAACATGGTGTGAAACTCTACCATTATAACTGAGCAAGATGGACACAGATACTTACAATTTTTACAGTTTTACTAAGGGAAAGATTTTCTGTGTTTTAGCTAGTTCAAACAAGAAGAAATGTACCTTTTATTGGACACTAAGCATATTAATTTCACAAAGCCAGATATATTAAACATATCTAAGAGTATTTGAGTCTAAGTGTCATTCTAGTGTTTTGACCTTTTCCATAATTAATAGCCTGTTTATAGTACTTGATGTAAAACACTATTCAAACTTTGTACCTAAAACTGTTTATTTTGGGTGATAAATGTTGATTGATTTTCATAGAGATTCAAATAGCTTTGTTCCATTTGATAAGTAAATATATGTTTATCAAACCTTTGCTTTTGTATATGATAAAACAGAAAATACATGTGATAAAACAAAAGTACTCCAGGAAGAATGTTTTTATGCTATTATAGGAAAGTGCCAATTCATATTTCTCTAATTTGTTTCTCTGACACATATTTGCTAACCACTCATTTTTGCAAAATACCATGTTATGCGTTGTAAGGAGATGAAACCAAAAAATGTGTGACCTTCTCTCAGTGAGTTTAAAACCAAGTAGGTGAGACATTAGTAAAATTTATGAACAGAGAAATATTAAAGATGCAGAATTGGGAATGATTGAGCCAAGAAATTTGAATTAACACATGGTGATGAATTTAAAATAACAACATAGTAAGTATTTTTAAATAAAACAGGACAAATCCTCTATTAATGATATATCATCATCTTTTATCCCTTCATTCATTCAGGAAATATTATTTGAGCAAGTACTATGTAAGGCCCAGGGATATGGGCTAATAAAAAAAATAACATAAAAATGGAAGTTGTAGTTACTGTGTGAGATTTGGGATAGGCTCAATGTATTAAATCATCATTCTTTCAATAGATATTTATTGGACTTCTCTCATGTGCTGAATTCCATTTCGAGCTGATGGTTTAGTCTCTGAACGTGCCCAGTTAGGTTTACTTGGTTTTGTTGCCACGGTCTCTAGGCTCTTTGAACCATCTTTAAATTCATGCCATTGGACTTAAGGAAGACTGAGTGAAAGCAAGTGGGAATCCAAAACTTAGTTGGATAACAGTTAATTCTAAGTGTGTGGCCTTTCTGTTACGCTTAGGATCGGTTAACCATTCTACTCCACCATTCAAGGACTCAAAAGAAGGCAGTCAGCACCTCCAAGTCAAAATCACACTGTCATAAGATATTTTCTTTGCTACTGGCACACAGACTTAGGAAACTTCCTTCTTAACAACAAAACAAAGCCACTGCAAGGCCTTATTAATGTTAATTTGCAGGAAACATGAGCCGAGTGAGTATTCTTAAGGCCCAGGGATATAATGGTGGAGCTACAGTCTCGGGAGAAGCTCGCAGTCATTCACGAGTCACACACACTATATATGATTATAAACTATAGTAAGTGTTGTAAGGATTCGTGGTGCTCTCAAAGCTTTTGACTGGGAAAGTTACGGAAGTTAAGTCTGAGACACCATCTGAAGAATGCGTAAGTTAACTCAGAAAACCGGAGCAAACCTTATTCATGCTATTCCCTGAGCTTCCCCAGAGCCTTCCTGGGTACTCGTTTAATTAGTTACTTGTAACTATTCAGTATGCCATTTTTAGCTGAGAAAACTAACGTTTATGTTTTATATATTTAGGTATTTTACAAAAAAGTAGAGTGTTCTAGTCTTGTTTTTATTCAACTCAGCCTTTTCAGAAGTTACTTTTCCTCTCTTTCATTTTTCTCCCCCCACAAAAGCTTGCTTATCCTCAGTTTTGTTTCAGGGGATCTACTCAGGCAACTTATATAAACTGATACAAACATCAAACCCCCTTCTCATTTGTGTATGCTTATTGTGTTCTGTTTGACTTTCTTGCATAATAACAGTCCTCTCAAAATACGTATAGCAACAAAATCTGTTTTTTATGTGTTTTTCATCTATATGTGTGATTAATTCTTAGGTAGTACAGTGATAACTCAGGAACAATTCTAGCTGTAATAAATGTTTTAAAAACAGAAGTAATACGTACTCTTGATGGAAATTCAGAAATATGTATCATGGAGTCTATGCTTCACAATAACACCCACGTATGGGTTTCAGTGTATATTCTTTGTGATTTAAAAAATATATTCTAATTAGATATCAATGTAATTTCTATTTTATAAAAATTGAGTCACATGGTATTTTTATTCATACTTATTTTTTAAATGACATGTTACATGTTATTTAAAATATGCAACTGACAACAAAATGATCTTTGTAGAAATTTATTCTATACTACTATTTTTTATTGCTTCTTTTGGAATTCACATAAGAGATTGTTAGTAGCAATCTTAGCTCCAAAGAGAAGCCTCTGATTTAAAAGTTAGTCTGAATTCTCTCAGTCATGTTGTTGATAAAGTGTGTAGAAAAAAAAACATAAAAATACCCATCTGTATGTGAACTCAACCTCAGATCATCTGAGCTATAAGAAATATTTACAGATCTGTACAAGGTCAAATAAAATATTCAGAATTTTGAGTGTGTCAAGAAACAAGTCCTCAACAGTTTTAATGACTGTACTATTCTTGACCTTTAGTTGCTTAATGAGTGCACCATCTTAACATCATTTTAAAATTCATTACTTTATTTTCATCTTTAAGAAGGTGAGCTAATTGGTTTCCATTGTGTTTAGACTCAGAACTTCACCGATTCAGCAATTGCTTTAAAAAAGAGTTGGTATGGATTAGTTTCTTATTTCAGCCCATGAAGAATGCTGCTTGTATTACTCACTGTATTGGTCCATCACAATTACTATGTCAATGGCAGAAAACTGCCTTTAAATTGAAAACTATGTACGTTTTTACATTAAGAAAAGGAGACTGAGAATTCCCATTATTTTATTCACTATTTCTCTGGTTATAGGAGTTACATTAGAAGTTTATATAAGACATGATGGCACTAGTGTCTCATTTGAGATTTCATTCTGTGTGAATCATCATTCTGTGTGAGTCATCTCATTAGTTACCTTCTATTAAACATTGTTCATTTCTAAGCTAAGTTGTCCTACTTGTTGCTTTAACTTTACAGTCACTTTATATGCATTTCGCTCAGTCACACATGTTTATTTATCCAGGCAGTATATGCCAGGCACTGTTCTAGACCCTGGGGATACCGTGATGAACAAAATAAATGTAAACATGTATCGCCCCCTGAGCTCTTGTTTTAGAGGAGATGGAGATAGACAATAAACAGAATAAATACATAGAACGTATATGATGTTAGGTAGTGATCAATTCTAAGGAGGAAAATTCAGTGCGGAAAAGGAGGTAAGAAAGTTAGTCGGGATGAGAAAATGGGTGTTGACTATGGTGTGGGGTGGCCAGAGTAGACCTCACTGAAAAGGTGACATCCGATGACAGACTGGCATTGAGTAGGGGAGCCATTCCCATGTGGCCCTCTGACAAACTGTTTCAAGCGGCAAATGTAATGGCCCTGAGGAAGGAGCCTATATAGTGCGTTTGTAAAACCGCAAGGAAATGGGCGGGCTGCAGTGGAGCGGGGCGGTGGTGACAGGTGAGGGAAGACTGAGGACAGGGCGCAGGTGGTGTATAGAGTCCTGCAGGCCGCGGTGAGGGCTTCGGCTTTTACTCCAAGGGCGGTGAGCGTTTGGAGAAAGCACTGCAATGATAGATGAGATCCCCTGGCTTCTGTGCCAAGGGCAGACTGGAGGAAGGCAAAGGGAGAACGGTGTACGTATGTATTTTTAACTTATTGAGGAATGACTGACAAATGTAATCGCCTGTATTTGAAGTGTTCAGTGTAATGATTTGATCGACTTTGTGGAATGACTACCAAGGTCAAGGTAATTAACGCATCCATTACGTCACATAGTTCACGCCTAACCATTTTTAAGTGAATACTTCAGTAACGTCAAGGGTATTCGCGTTGTTGCGCAACAGTAGTTTTACTTAAATGGAACTTAGTTTGTTGATGAATGTAGTGATGCTGGAGCAATGGCTTTAGATTGATTCCACTTTATTGTTCTTTCTCCAGAATATGTATCGATTTGAAGGCACTGGTTTTTCAAACATTCCTCAGCTTATAGATCATCACTATACCACAAAGCAGGTCATCACTAAGAAGTCAGGTGTCGTTCTGCTGAATCCTATTCCTAAGGTAGGTGCATATGTCATATATAGACACGCTTTTTTTTAAATTTTATTTTATAGAATGCTTTGTGAGTTAACATTTCCCACAGTAAATCAAATTCTTAGGTTTTTTAAGAAGTTTGGAAATGAAAGGGCTTTGTGATTGCTACTCGTACAATGTAGTTGGAACAATTTCCTCGGTTTCGTTCACATGGTTGCCTTTTGATTCAATGTTTGTTAGGTTACAAGCGGACTAGTCCTCCCCCGCCCCACACTCAGTTTTTCTTGAAAGACTTCAGGCTCTTTTTCACTTTATAAGGTTTAGTCTTTGAAAGATTCAGTGTAAAAAACATTCTAAGATATAAAAATCAAAGAAAATATTCAGAAATCATGAGTAAATTAGAATTCTAACTTTGGGCATTAAGTTTACAATATGTTATAAGTCATTGGACCTTTTTACTCTACTCAAAGGCAGTGAATTATGACTTCCCTCTGTGGAGCCAGGTAGCTGGGTGAGAGACTGTTCTAGGTCATTTTTACCTCTAACATCGACCATGGGACACATTACCTCCAGGTGCTGTAAGAGATTTGCGAGGTAAGGAATGGGTATGAGGAAGGTGTGTGTTTTTAAGGTAACACCTGTGGCCTGGGCCAAAGTGGAGCGATGAAGCCGAGTGGTGCCTGAGCACTTTTGATGTTTCAGGAATTGGGATGGGGTCGGCAGGTGTCCTTTCCTTTCAGGGCTATCTGCTCTGGAGAACAGTGTAGAAGTAGGGAAGTCATAAAACCTATAGCTTAATATTTACTGATTTTATTTTTATATATGTAGGGGTAACTTTTAATATGAACTAAGTGTTATTCCCAAGAATGCTAGTGTATAATTCAGGTTGAGCTAAGGAGATTTAAAAGACAACTGTTATGCTTTCTTTTGTTAGTCTAGAACATAATGTCTGTATTTGTACTTGTATTTTATTACTCAGTCTTTACTTACAGGCTGAGCTTAAGAAATTCCTCTCACAGAAGATTTTTACAGCTGCTAAACACTAATTCTGTGACTAAGGCATTGGCCTTCTTGCATAATTTGTAGAATTATGAGATTGGCGCATTCTTTGTTTGTATTTTTTCACCCCCACGCCACCTCCTTTTCCATTTTAATTGCAGAAAACTCTACAAAAATTCCTCTTTAGCCTGGACCAGGTGGGCACATTTTTTTCTCTATTTAAAAAAAGAAAAAAGTCTATCAATGTTTTCTTTTCCATCAGTGACTAACAGCTATTGTTTTGCAGAATTTTAGGAGCTCTTTAGTTAAGGCCACCTATTCTCATGGCTTTGTTTCCTTTTCTATACCTCAGTGACTTGCAAATTAATATTTCTAGTTCAGATTTATATATTCCCCCAAACTGATGTTTTTCAACTTTTCACCTAAAGCTGAGTTTAGCACCTTTAACTCCAAAATTTGTTCTCCCTTTCTCAGTAAATGGTACCACTATATACTCAGCTGCTCAAACCAAAAACTAGGGGACAACTTTGACATTTTCTCTTCCCCACTGCCCTCCCTCCAGTACTTAGGTGGCAGAGGTTTTGTATACTTAATTGTACATGTGAAAGTATGAATTTCAATTCTGGTATATCTCAGTATGAAGTAAAATTCAGTGAAACGAAGATACTTTTCTACCCATGTTAGGTTAGTGACATATGCAACTGGGTTTTCAGAGATACTGATAACCCGTTTCACAAGCCATCCAGACATTTGCATTGTCTACTTGCCTAGCCAGGTCTAATTTGGGAGACCAAAACCATAAAAAAGGCACACAAAAATGCAGACCTGGACTTGAGTGGGAATATATAATTTCAAATAAAGTTGCATCTCTCACTGTATGAATTTTTCATGATACGAGACCAGATAGATGGAGTAGATTCTCTGGACTGTTCCATGGCTGGTTATTTCTTCCTCCCAAACCCTCAGCACTGGCTGTGCAGCTGATTATCTCAGCATTGTACAGCACTAGCTGTGAAAATGACTGTGCACCGAAAGCTATAAAAGATTAAGGGGCTATATGTGATTGTTTTATGAGGTGGAAATTTAAAGTTTATATAGCTATTAACCTGATCTAAAGTACTGATATTTGAAATATGCAAATCATTATCTCTGTTGTAAATATTGTTATGCACTTGATTTAAAGAATCATGTTGCTCTTTTACAAGAAAATCACAAAGCAGAGGTTGTGAAAGTTAGATAATTTTCAATTATGAGCAGAGAACAAACTGATATGGGTTTTGTTATGGTCGTATTATCTGTTATGTATCTTCCTTTGAGAAGTCATTTGTACTCTTATAATTGGAATCTATTTGTTGATTTAATTTGCATAAGAAGTTAATGTCTTTGACCATATAATGTGCTGTAAAACATCTAATTTCCGTCTTGCCAGACTTCATTTTTAGCCTACATAAGGAATGCTATTTTGGTCTCAGTATAATTTCTGTTGATAGCCACTTACTTCTAAGACTCTTCCCATTTATCTCTCTTATCCGTAAAAATATAAAAACATCATCATAATGCCTAACTGGAGGACACAGTGGCCAAAGTAGTCTCTTTCTTATCTTCAGAGGTATAGGAAACTAGAGACAGAGACATAATTTAACTTACGGTAATGAAGCCAGTGGCGCCTAAGACACTCATCCCTTACCCTCTACTGGCTGATTTCTCCTACGCCTCCCAAGGTCTGTAAAGATATGGAAGATGAAAGGCATTGTTATAAACAGGGGTGACTGATCACCCATTTTCATCCTTACATTAGCGACACGTACTTAGTTCAATTTCTGTGCAAATGTCACTTCATCGAGAGGCCTCTTTCTGACCACCATGTGTGAAGTAACACTTCATCTCCTTATATTCCCTTTTCCCCTTTTTAATTTCTCTCTGTCACACCTTTGTGTACCTGACATTATATTATATGATGTATTTAGTTGTGTGTCTCCCCAAGTGAAATGTCAGTTTAATAAGGGCCAGAATTACATTTAGCAATTAGTGTAGCTGTATCAACAGTGCTGACTCATAGTAGGTGTTCAGTAAGTATTTGTTCACAAATTAGATTCATTGAGCAGTTGCTAGGAGCCAGGTACTTGCTGAGTTTTTTATATGCATTATCTCATTTAACCCCCATGTATTCCTATGAAGTATTGTTATTAACCCCATACACTATTATTTTATTAACCCCATACACTATTCTGAATAAGGAACTGAAGCTTACTATGATAAATGACTTGTACAAGATAACATAGCTCATAAGACTCGGAGTTGAGATTCCAGCCCATGTTCTTTTTTTTCTTGTTTTTTAAAATATATCTTTATTGATTTCTGAGAGAGGAAGGGAGAGGGAGAGAGAGAGGTAGAAACATCAATGACGAGAGAGTCACTGATCGGCTGCGGCCCGCAACCCCGGCATGTGCCCTGACCGGGAATCGAACCCCAATCGCCTGGACCCTAGGTCGACGCTCAACCGCTGAGCCACGCCCGGCCGGGCTCGAGCCCATGTTCCTAACCACTGTCTGTCTAGATTGTAGAGTCTAGACTTTGGAGACTAGAATAAACTATTTTTTAAGGAACGTGGATGTGGGTTCAAGGAAAAGGAAGTATCTTTGATTGTATAAAATGTTGAATTGGAAAAGATTTTAACATATCAAAAACTATAAGTCTCTATAAAAGGAAAATCATTAAACAGTAATACTGTGTCAGTGATCTGGGATTTTAGGTAACATTTAAGTAAGACTTGATAAAATATAGGTTAGAAAGACATTTGGTTCAACTTTAACATTTCAGTCGTGCCTTGAAAGTTTATTTGCCTTCTTAAATTTAATATTTCTTCAAATGTAGTTGCTTTTAAAAATAAATTTCTTTCTGAATGGGAATTAAAGTTCATGATTAAATTCAGGGGAGTTAGGCAGCGAGCCATTAAGTTGAAACTTTGACAGATGACTTGGCTGCCAGCATAAATCAAGTACCTGTGGCTTTTTATCAGAACTGGTACAGGTTTTGAGAATATTAGAGGCAGATTTTTTGAGAGGAAAGTGAATCTTTTTGGGTCTGACACTACTGACTGGTAAAGAGGAGACAGGTTAGTGGCAACAGCATTCATGTTCAGACTCATGTAGACAAACAATAGTTCATAAGAGTGAAAAGCTATACTTTTAATTAGGCTCTCTATTCATTTTTGTAGTTTAAGATTTCTTAAAGACTATTTTACCTTATACTTAAGGTTTGCTTCTCCCAATCTTACTGTTTAATGATTTTCCTTTAATAAAGGCTTTTGACATACTTTTGTTAAAGTCCTTTTCAATTGAACATTTTAAGGAATTTAAGAGACTTCCATTTCCTTAAATCTACATCCATGTGCCTTAAGTCCTTAATCATTTAATTAGATTATTAAAATAAATTTAAAATTTTAGTAAAGAGAAGATTGGAAAATATGTGTGATTCAGTACTTATCCCTTTAGCAGTTACTTGCTTAGCACTCACTCTGTGCTGGACAGTGTCCTGGGTTATGACAGGGTGTATGTAGTACATGCTGCGAAGATGAAGTAGGTCAAGGAGAGGCGGAGCTGAGTGTGACAATGAGGGCAGGCTTGTGTGCTGTGTGTAGGGGAGGGCTGCTTTTTTAAAACATTGTGATCAAAGAAGGCCTCCTAATGAACTCTGAGGGGAAATGTGAACTAGACCAAGGCGTTATCTGTATGGTGTTATGCAGGGGTAATTGTAAAAGTACTTACTTAACACTTAGTACAACGTGAAAATTAACTGAAGAGAACAGGTGCCAAATGTAAACTGGTGGAGCCATAGTGGTGTTTATTGACTGAAGATCCTCCAGGAGTGTCTGCGGAGTGATCCTTGGTGTAACCACAGGGGCCACCATGGCAGAAACAGTGGTAGAAGGAGAGAGTGATGGAGATGAGCAGAGATTTGGAGTAAGTTAATATATATTAATCTTAAAAGGTCAATTGTTTATTATATGATTCAAGAAATTCATTTGAGTAGAAACTAAGCATAAAATCTTACAAGTTTTTATAATGGGTCTCTCAAAAACCAAAAATTTGTGTTTAATAGTATGAGTGAATTTCAAGGGAAAATTTTTGTAGTAATATGGCCATCTAAATAAGAGTAAAACCCCTGATTTTAATTTCCAAGAAAATTTCCCCCCAGTCATTTTTCCCCCATACCACCAAGCAATTGACTCAATTCTGACACAGTCTTCCTGGAGATAGAGTGTGATCCCACAGATTATAGGCTTAGTCCCACAAGATACCCCCCCCCCC